TCCCCTTATTCCCCCCTTGACCCCCCTCGTCTCCCCCTCGTCCCCTCCCGCCCTGCAGCGTGTTGCAATGCCCAGGCCTTTCCTCCAGACAGGCCTCCCTGGCTCCTCCTTGGCTCCTGCAGCGTTAAGCTTTGGGACTTTGCAACATGGTGCTTAATGTGGCAACTTTGTTTTTTTATCTGATTCCCGGCTCTAAAAGCATCCCGACCGCATAATGGGAAAGTGATTGCCGTGCTGGGGCCTGTGCTGGAGTTGTGTTGGAGTGACAAGTGTGGCTCGGTGCTCCAGAGGCCGTTTTTTTTTTTCAGTTGAGGAGGAAGGGAGCCATGTTAAGGTTCAAACCCAGGTTCAAACTAGGTTGTTATTATGCTCTTAAACAGGCAAGGAAAAGCTAAAGGCATTTTTGAAACCTTTGGCTTAAACTCAAGGCTGTTGAGGCTGTAATAATGTGCTGCTCTGTCTGCAGTAACGAATCGGAGAGTTTCCTTTGCAGCGTGTTATCTTGATTTGAAAAACGTGGGTTTTTTTGCCATTTCCAGAAGATTCAGTGGGAAAAGCAACTCAGTGCAGCTTAGAGGCTCTCTAGTGTCCCTTCTCTTCTTCACCTGTTTAGAGGAAGGCCCAGAAATTGCATTGTAGGTGAACACAGAGCAAACAGGGGGAAAAAATCCTCTTAACTAGCCAATTGTCATTTGTTTTAATTTTTCAGGCATGAAAATGTTGCGTTGAAAATAATATTGCATTTAGACAGTGTAATTTGGGATCTTAATGTTTAGTTTCTGATTTCTCTTGCTGTCAGTGTGACAGGAGCTGCTGTTCATTTAAATGGTGTAAAATATGGGTGCTTTAATTTCCTAATCTCATGTTTAGTATGGAAGAATTCCTGAGTTATATCAGCTAACTTGGTCAACTCTGTAGTGTAATTTCTAGTGGAAGGTGTCCCTGCCCTTAGGGGTTGGAACTGGATGAGCTTTAAGGTCTCTCCAAGCCCAACCAGTCTGGGATTTTTCCATCTTCCAGAAGAAAACATCTGAGTGTCTTCAGACACTGTTAAGGATTATCTGTCTCAAACCCATCTGGTTTTGCTGCATCTGTAGAAAGGGCCTTTGCTGTCTTTCAGTTTGGAGTGGAGATATATTATTAATTCACCAAATATCATCACTGGTTTTGACTTTATGTTATCTCTGGTTAACTGTGTTTATAAATCAGGTAAAGTTTTCCCTAAGCTCCTCCTAAATTATGCAAAGCAGTACCTGGAGGGGTTGATCACCTGGAAAACTCAACACTGCAGGAGTAGTGTAAGTTTGGGGGGTTTTTTTTGGTGTCTTGGCCACACCTTTAAAATTTCGTCCATTCCCCATGGAGTTTTAACGTCTTGGATTTCTCTCTGTTTTTGGTTTTTTTTTCCCTGGACTCCCTAGTGAAAATTACCCATTATCTTGTGTCCTGTGGACTTCCCATGCTCTTGTTACCTTTGCTATGTGTTACAGGTTGAGAGAGAGAGAGTGAAAATTCAGCTCTGCCAGGTGTCAGGTAGATGAATGACTTCAGCAGCTCTAAAATTCCATTTGTGGTTTAGTTCCAGGCCCAAACTTTGTGTAATTACACTGTGTTGTTGCTGTCCTTCTACTTTTTACACCACACTTGTGATTGAAGGGTTGCTGTAGCTGTAAATGAGTTTTGTGTCCACGTGGAGGGAAAGGCATTTCTGCAAGTGCAAGTCATCCTCACCATGAAGAAATCTTAACTTGGGTCCATTTTTCTTCCCTTCCGTTACTGCTGTTACAAAGTAGTTGGATTTCTAGGTGGTTTCTGGAGGCTTTTATTCAATAAATCTGCAGAAGCAAGTGGAATGAACTCTCAGCTTCCTTGTCTGTCATCTATAATTTATTTTTAAATCCTTCATGAGTGTATTCCAAGACACTCATTTGTCTTGGAAACAGAATTTCACATCTGCAGCACTATCTGTAAAAATCCTGCTGCTTATTGATAGTAACTGGCTTCTGTTGACCTCTTTTAGAACTCAGATTGCAAAAAATAATAGGACTAACGTGTCTGTTAGTCAGCTGGAAGACTTCATCTGTGCCTTATATCTAGAATCAGTGAATCAGGGAGGGCAGATTAGCAGTGAGTGGCCCACAGAGCTCTGAGGCTGTGGCTTTGCTTTGTAGTGGTCCAGGCTGCAGTTCAGGTGCAGTGAGATGCTGCTGCTCCGAATGAACTGCTCGCTGCCACACTTCTCTGTTCCTCCTGGCTCAGCTAGAAATTAAAGGAGGTTTAAATATTGAACCCTTTTCATTTCTTAAGCAGCTTTTATGATTTCTAGGAGGCATTCCATTTGATGTGGTATTAGGGGATTTTATTTTTTTTTCCTTCCAGTTCAGGGTGTGATGGTGGTTGATGTTTAACCACTTAATAAAATCTCATCAGACACATGAATTAATTTAGCCTTTGATTCTTTTTGCTCTGTTGTACAGAATACCTCAGGGTGTTGTCTGATAGTGGGAGATGAAGGTGAGGAGGAGAAAAAATACGCAGATTTATCTCTTGTCTCTGTTATTAGCAGGTAGAGCTTTTACTTTTACTTGTAGCTCATTCCCCTCAGAAACATCAAATTAGCCATGTAGGAAACCTGTAATTCTGCAGCAAAAACTTGTGCTGCTGCTTGCTGTGGCTGGATCAGGGGCAAGGGAGACTGGAAGAGAAATGCAGGGGAGGTTGGAATTGGCACTGGTTGTGGCAGTGTTCTGCACAAAGATAAGGCAGCTGTGCTAATGTTGAGATTCTAGCACATGGGAGATCAAAACATTGCCTTGCTTTCTGGCCTCAGAGAATAGCTGTTTATTTTGGAGTAGTGTGGAGTGCCTGTAAAAGTGTGTGAGTTCTCTGGAGGTAGTGTTGGCAATTATGCAGACAGCAGGGAATTTGCCTTTACTAGTCAACCGAGGGAAGGTGGAAGGAGGAAAAAGGATGAATCAGACAATTTCATTTGGGGTTGATTAGTTTAGAGTTATTAACCGAAGTTGTTGCTTTGTCTTTCAGATTTTCAAGTGAACTTTCAGTCTTCATATTGGCAAATTTCTCAGATAATATACTTTTCTAGTTGCTTTCATTTTACTCCCTGGTTATAAAGGTGGACTTTTGCCTGAAAACTATTTTTTTACTGATTTCCATCCCCCAACAAGAAATTCCCCTCCTTTTTTATTGCTCAGTAATTTGATAAGAAACGTTATTAATTACTTACAAGTAATCACATTGTTCTCTAGGCTTAACATTTTACTTTGGGCCTCTTGAGAGCTGCAGCTGCAATCATACAAAACAAACTGTGCCTTGGAGTACCTGTTTGGGTTAATATGGTTTTAAATTGGTCTTTGGAGGAGTTGAATGTCATTAAACTGTTGTGACTGTTTCTTCATAGCTTTATAGATGGAGTTTGGCTCTTGGATCAGTTTGGATCTCAGTGTGTTGAAGTCTCATTTTTTTTAAAGCTGAAACAGGGTCTCAATTCATGTAGAAAATAATATAAACATTGAAGGTCCATTTAGCAACTTTTGCTTTCTCTGGAAGAGCTGTTTAAGAGTTGTCATTTATAAACTGCCTCCAGAACATTATATTAATGAAACAGTTCCTTTGCTGAAACATTCACTATCTTAAACACTTATTTTTGTCATTTCCCAAGCTCCAGTAATTACGGGGGGAAAAATGAGCATTTAGCATAATTTCTGCCTTATTTCCCCCAAGAAAGGAAACCAACCAATGCTCAGTGTTTGGCTTTGTTTTCTGAAAGCTCTTTTACATATTTTTTCCCCCCTCTCTTGTATAGATGGTGATGGAATTTCCTGATAATGTGCTGAACCTCGATGGACATCAGAATAACAGTGCACAACTGAAACAGTTCATTCAGGTAAATACCTCCTCCTGTTTAAGAAGATTCATTATGTTTGCTTTCCTTAGGTTTGTGCTTTTGCTCCTTTGGGAGGTTGTCATTCCAGGAATGACTTAAAATGACATCAGCACCTGTGAGCAATCACATATGGGTACCAAAGTCCACTGGGTAGCTTTGTTCTCTGTGTTTCCCAGCACTGATTGCATGTTGTCTTGTCAGGAGGCAATTGCAAAAACTTATAATGGAAACTGCAGTTTCTAAATACTTTAGAATTGCTTTCTCAAGTTGAAATTGGCATTGCTTAAGGTTGAGTTGTTGTGATTAGTGCCTTACCAGAAGGAATTCACGTGCCAGTTTATATGTTAGCTGAGAAATGAGAGAGAGTTTTGTGGTACCCCTGAAGCTTTGGTGTTAGAAACTTACCTGCTGATGCTCTGGTAAGTAACTGCAGCACTGTCACACCTGTGGCAGCTGCAAAATTGTGCCACTTGATGTGCAGAGAACGGAGCAGTTTGCTGCTCTGCAGCCTGCACGTCCTCACTCGTGCTTTGACAGCAGCAGTGCAGACATGTGCTGCATGTAAAGCATAACTTGTTGTGAAAATAGCTCATCCCTGCTTTGCTGTGACTGGTAAATTAATTACAGGAAAGAGGGTTATTGCAGAGTGGTATCACTTGTCAGATGATTTAATGTGCCTGTCTCAGAGAGCACAAACCTTCAGTGTTACCTGATGGCAGCTTTACAGTTCAGAGCATGGATTACAGAAAAGGAACTGGAAATATTTCCTCTCTTCAGTTGATGTATTGACAGGTTCCATGGGATTGATGAGTTCTGCTGTTTTGTGTGGTCTTTTCTTTCTTTTCCCCAGAAGTTGTGACAAGTCATTTCTGTATTTAGGAGTGTTTGAGTGCTGTGATATGACAGTACAGAAAATACTGTCGTGGCAAAACATTCCCTGTACAAATACAGCTATAATTCCACTATATGCTTTGTATAACCAGGACAAAATGACCCTCAGTCAATGCACTGACAGGACTCTGCTCTTAGGCCTGATCTTGGGAAGCACCAGTGGTGCTGATATCCCAAGTGCAGATGTGGGTGAGGAAGAAACTCTCTCTTCTTCGTAGCTGGGCCAGTGGCAGTTCAGTGTTGATGAAACCCAAGCCAGTAATTCAGCTAGAAGGATATGTGCTTTTTGTGCATATGTGTGCCTGGATGTGTTTGACAGAGGGACCAGGAGACACCTCTAGGATGGTTTATTGATGCAAGAAATTTAAAGGTGTTCTCTTTAATGTTCTATTAATAGCACACGTTGAACGTTCGCTACTGGAGTAAAATGCTTCACCCTGAGTAGTCATGTTTGCTTGCTTTGATTTCAGCTATTAGGATTGTGATGGGAAATAGCATTTAGCCTTCCAGGAAAAGTATTACTCATTTGTCTTGTTTTGAGCAGCACAAGTTTGTTGTAAATGGGATTTCCATAAATGCCAACGAATGTTCATGAATTTCCTTTCCATGTGCCAAAGATAAAATGAGTGTGAGAGTAGAAGACAAAAACTCACTGTTTGTGTGTGAGACCTTTTCCTAAAACATCTGTGCTGAGGTGGAGAAAGACTTTCCTGAGCAGGACAGGGAAGTGTGATGTTTATTTGGGAGCAGCATCAACATGATAGAAGGAGAGAACAAGAGGAGAAAAATATTAGCATCCTCCCTTTTTTTAATCATTGGATTGCTTGCCCTTTTTTCAGAGACACAGCATGCTTAAACAGCAGGATCTGAACATTGCCATGATGGTGACCTCCAGGGAGGTGCTGAGTGCCCTGTCCCAGCTGGTGCCCTGCGTGGGCTGTCGCCGCAGCGTGGAGAGACTCTTTTCCCAGCTGGTGGAGTCTGGGAACCCAGCGCTGGAGCCTCTCACCGTGGGGCCCAAGGGGGTTCTCTCTGTCACTCGCAGCTGCATGACTGATGCAAAGAAGCTTTATACACTCTTTTACGTGCATGGGTGAGTGGCTTGGAGTGCTCAGATCATTCCTGCCTGGGGGAGAGGAAAGCTGAGTCTGGGTGTTTGTCCTCACAGCCTTTTTGGGGATACTGAACTATCCCAAGTTTGAATTACTTGACTTTTACAGCCACGTTAGGCTAGTTATTGCCTAAACTGGGACAAAGCAAACCCAAAAGACCTAATCTCTCCTATCACCACTTGCAATGCCATGATTGCAATTGAAACATTTAGCCATGAACGTGCCACGGTCACTGTGGGTTTTTCATGGGCTCTGGAAGAAAAGTGTTTGTTCACCTCACTACTTTGCATGTGAAAAATAAAATAAGAAAGCAAATTAATGAACACCTGTCCACCAAAACTTTCTACTCTTGGGTAGAAAGGGAACGCTGAGAAAGTGAAACCTCCTGGATTTGGTGAGCACAATAAATAGTTCCAGTGCCATTAGTTTCTCAGCTGTCAACAGACCAAACAGTGACTGCTGAGCACAGTGTGCCTTGGCCTTCCAGTTGGCTTCAGCTCATTCTTCTTGCTCCAGTTAGCAGGAAAAGTAGGGAAGGTCAGAGCAGAGTTGAGGAGATTGAGGTTGGGAGCGTGAGCAGTGTAACTTGGTCAAGTGGTTTTCAGAATACTGAGGTGGTTTTTTTTCCACAGGTCCAAACTGAATGATATGATTGATGCAATTCCCAAAAGTAAGAAGAACAAGAGATGTCAATTACACTCCCTGGACACACACAAACCAAAACCTTTGGGGTGAGTTCATGTTTAACATGCACAATTCAATCTCAAATACTTCTAAGGAACCAAAGTATTGATGCTAATTTATTTGAAAGCGTTGAGATCAGTTCTTAGGGTGTGATCTGTTTGCCAGAGTAGTCATCTCCAAGCTGGCTGGATTATAGCAGACCCAAATAGTTGTGGGGGAGAGGAAGAGAAGCACCAGGAGTTTTGGGCATGCTCAGGGCCCAAAACTTGTGCACTGTGATATAAGCAATGCTCTAGAAAGACAAACTGGTTTTTGTGCTCTGGGCCGAAATGATTGATCAGCAGGTTTTCCTCCCCTGGAGGTGAAAGGGTTCATGCTAAGCACATATCCATAATTTTGTTTGGGATTATTAAAAATGCCTTGCACAAGTGTTCAGCAAGGCCTTTCTTGTGGCTGGGTGCAGGGTTGAAACTGGAATTCTATAAAATGGCTTTTCTCAAACTGTGACAGCATGTTTGAATACACCACTGAAAATATGCATATATACCTCTGTGTCTTGAAGTTGGAGTGGTTTGAAACAGCTGGTTAACCAGAAAAACACTCCCTGTAAATCTCTGGTGGATTTCAGGGGGTTTCTTGTTTGTGGCGTGGTTTCTTCGGTATATTTTTTTTTTAATATGAAGACCAATAAATTAGACTCCTATGCTTGGCTGGAGTGTCTGGACCTTTTGTAGTCACTTATGTTCTGCTCCTGGTTCAGCACACAACCTGTGAAAGCTTGCTCGTGGTTTCCAGTTACAGAACATGTATTTTTCTATGCAGATTTGGGTCTCTTTGGGTTTAGTTAAATCCCCTGGGATACCAGGCATGTGGAATTTGACACTTGACTTTTGCTTGTGCTGCTTGAGGATAGTGGTAACTAATCATTATCTCCTATTATATTTTGGTTTCAGACCTTTCCTATAATTACTTTCAAGCTTATGTTGCACAAGATCATGAGGGTATAGAGTGATATATATTTTTTTTACAATAAAGCAAATCCATAGCATTATGAAAGTGGGTTTTGGGGTTGTTTTATCTTTAGTAAGCCTAAGCTTTTCTGTGCAAGGACATATGTCACACAACCTGCAGCTAGCATTTTGGCAAGGCAGAACAATTCTGAAACTGAATGAGCAGAGAGGAAAATGCTGCCTTTATTCCCTCAATCCATGCTGGAATAAATCCCCTTAGTATTTTGGCTGCTGGCAGGTTGGTAGGGAAGATGTCAAGAGCAGTATTGTAATACAGTGCAGGTAAACCTTGGGGCTTTATCAGATACTGTGGCTTGTGGGCATTCAGGGTAGTTTGCTAAGGAAACATGTCTTGCACTCTCCTGCTCAGTGAAACCCTTTTGGTGTGTACAGAAGTGACCCAGGTGTAGCAGTACTGATGTTTCTCCAGACTGTTTTGCCTCCTGCAGTGAACACAAAATCTCCAGCCCAGAGATGGAGTTGTTCCAGAGAATTGTCTTCCAGTGCAAACTTACATTGTCGACTTAGAGCTGCTGCTCCACTTTCTCACAAGAAACTCCTTCAGAGGAGTTGCATCTGTTAGGCATTTCAGACACACAAAAAAGGCTTTGAGTTGTAATTGTGTGTTTAATTAGACGAGTTATGTAACCAGCTAATACCACTTGAGAGTGAGTTGATGTCCTCAGTTTCACTGTGCCTGGTTGTGGCTACTCAGTTCCATTCAGGGCTCAGGAGCATTTTAAGCTCCCATAAATGCAAGCCATATGATCTGATAAACTAGAGAATAGCATCCGTAAGTAGTCTAATTATGAACTAGAGGTGCTTCTTTCCGTTTTCCTTCTCTGTTGTATCCGTGAGCTTACATAGAAATGACTGTGGTGAAGTGTCAGGGGTAGACAAGCCTGTAAGTAACCATGACTTGATATTTAATGCTTGTTCTCTGCTCTATAATGTGCTTTTAGCCTATCCAAATGTGTGTGGTAAAGTTATTTTGGTTCTTTTTTTTAACAGAGTTTGGAAGTTTAATGTAGGTTGTTTTATGGTTCCTTATGCTGGTGGATGTGTGGGTGTCAGGGATTTTGTTTTGCTTTTTTTCTGTCTTTAGTAAATTGTCTGAGGAGATTTAATTTGGCAGGTACTAATGACTACTGGTTTTCTCCTATAACTTTAAAAAGTCCTCTTGAGTCTGGGTCTATAAACATGGACAGCAAAATTTGCATCTCACGTCTGACCCAAACTTCCCTGGAAGTTAAGACTGAACTCTAAAGGATTTGAAGTTGAGGAAGGAACACACCAGCATTCTGGCAGCATTTGTTTAGGATAACTAGTTGATAAGTGTATATGCTATAGGTCTGAAAACTATTTGGTAATACTATGTGGCAGTGAAGGGAACAGTAACAGACTCAGAACAAAGAAATTAGGAGCAGTTCAGAAACATAATGATGCCAGGAGGAGACAAGAGAGCAAGTGTAGCATCATTCTGTGCTGTGAACCTCCCAGGAGAGCAGACAGGTAACCAGTGAGGCTTTGCTTGGCTTCTCTTCCAACCTCCACCAGGATAATGTACATTGTTTTTCTCTTGTGTTTTTTTGCAGGGGTTGTTGGATGGATGTGTGGGAGCTCATGTCCCAGGAATGCAGGGATGAAGTAGTTTTAATTGACTCTAGTTGTCTTTTAGAAACATTAGAAACCTACCTACGAAAACACAGGTATGTGGAAAGAACACCTCACACCTTCATTCTGAGGAACACATTGCATGGGTTTTGTGACCAAAATGTTTGTAGAGTTCATACAGTGTTTAAAAGCTTAGGGCATTCTTGTGATACCCTTCCAAAACTGGAGATCTCAGCGTTGTGGTGATGGAGAACCTTGCCAGGTTGCACTGGGACAGTTGATAAGATGAAATGGTGACATACTGTGTTTTACCTGTTGCTCCAGGGGAAATCCAGACACCTTGGATGAAGTCATAGCTGCTGGTCTTAATTTTTTTGGCTCGGATCAAATGATGATTTACAGTTTGAAGCATTCAAACTGTCTCTATTCAGTCCCTCTTTGACAAGTAGCCTAATCTTGGATCATGCCTGCTTTGAGCCTTTTGGGAGCTCTGTGCCATTTCAAAATCATGTGAACTAACCTGACAGAAGCAAATTTCAGGCTTAGTGTTGCTTGTAAATCACTGTTTTATACCAGTTGTTTATGACTTGCAGTGCTGGTGCTGTTAAGTCTTTTTTGCAGGGCAAAACTAAAGCCACTAAATTATAGTTGCATGTGTACAGTAGCTGCTGTGCTGATTAAAAAGTTTTAATTTCCAGCAGTCTCAAGGTTCTGATAGGAACTGTGGGGGCACAGATGGGTGTGGGGGTGGTGGTGCTGTGGAAATAACACTTTGGAAACAGAGTAACTTTAATCTCCTGTGACATTAAACACGGTGTTGGCAGCGTTCCTGCTGCTAACCTGCAATAATAGTGCTGTTTTCTTTCCTTTCACCACAGAAACTAGCCAGGTATCCTGGTTCTGTCTAACAGCAAAATAGCTTTGGCTTAGTGTTGTCAAGTGAGTGGCCACACTAGGGAGGGGAAAAACACCATCCAGAGCTGGCATGGAGAGCCAGCTGAAAGCTGAGATGTGAGCAGCTTGTCTGACTTGCATTTTTAGAGTAGTACAGCAAGAGGTTTTGTGGCTTCTTGAAGGTTACTCCTGGTACAACAAATTAAGCTCATTCTGGTTTGTATTTTAATTATAGCTACATAACTATAGTCTTCTCACACATGAGCTGTCACATGTTTATTAACTAAACCTCATGTGGCTATCAGCACAGTAATCTAATTATTCAAAATATGTTTAGGGGTGTTTGTGGTGGAAACATCACTTGTACAACAGGCAGCAGAGGAAACTTGCTGATTTCTTATCACTCACTTGAGTACACTTTGAGTCATTGTTGTAAGGTAACTTGGAGTGTGTTACTGAAAGGGATTTTGTCCTGTCTGGTACTGATTCAGTTTGTTCACTATGAGATGAATGAATGTGGGATTGCATATCCATGTAGGAAATTTTTCATGTGGGCAATTAGCCTGATTTTTGCTTTGGAGCATGAAAGTTGATATCCAAACTTGCAATGTCTGATAGGTGGGATAATTCATACAGTAAAATTTGGTGCCTTACAGCCAAATCCTTATTATTTTACCTTTTGAAGCAACATAAACCTTCTGTGACCCAGCTCAAATGCAGCATCACTGTTAGACAGCAGAGTCATAGTGTCACAGCATGTTAAGGGGTTAGAATGGAGCTTAGAGATCATCCAGGCCCTGGGCAAGGTCACTTCCCACCAAACCAGGGTGCTCAAGGCTTCATCCAACCTGACTTCGAGCGCTGCCAGGGTTGGGGCAGCCACAGCCTCCCTGGGCAAGCTGGGCCAGTGTCTCACCACCCTCACAGGGAAAAATTTCCTAATTCTAATTAAATTTCTCCTCTTTCATTACTCTTTGTCCTATCACTGCAG